ATATGGGATGCCAGCACTGCAGGCACAGCTTTACCTGCTAAACCACAGTGCCAGCCCCTCTCCACAGTATTTTATATTTTACACATATATAATATTTATTAATTAATTTTTATTTAAAAGTAGGAGTGACACAGAGAGGGGTAGGCAGAAGAGAGAGAGAGAGAGAGAGAGAGAGAGATCTTCCATCCATGGATTCAATCCCCAAATGGCCACAACAGCTGGATCTAGACCAGGATGAAGCCAGGATCCAGGAACTCCATCCAGGTCTCCCGTGTGGGTGGCAGGGGCCCAAACACTTGGGCCATCTTCCACTGCTTTCCCAGGTGCATCAGGAGGGAGCTGGATCAGAAGTGGAGGAGCCTGGACTTGAACCAGGCACTCCAATATGGGATGTGAGTATCCCAAGCAGCAGTTTAACTGGCTGCACCATGACACCCACCACTTGCTAATACTTCTAGAACACCTACTACGTGCTGGTGACAGGGTTGGTTCACATGACCCACGCAGACACCAGGTCTACCCTTGTGAGGCCTATGGTTCTCAGGGCAGCAAACACCCAACATGTGCTCACAGCACCATGGCAAGCATCAGGGTGGGACATGCAGGTTCATCTTTTTAGGGTTTCATCTCCACGCTCAGCCCATATCCCAAAAGGAGTTGGGGCTCTGAAGTCACAGTCGTTGTCCTTATCTTGAGAAAGTCACTTCCTTCTCTGTGCCTCAGATTCTTCATTTCAAAGCGAGACTGATCCTCGTGATGACATGTACAGCAGTGCCCTTGCACCCATCCCTGACACACCACAAAGACTTCACAACCAGGGCAGGGACCCGGCACCACAGCCAAGACACCACCTGGAACACCCACCTCCCACATCGGAGTGCCTGGCTCTGCTTCTGACCCAGCTTCCTGCCACCGTGCACCCTGGGAGGCAGCAGATGATGGTTTAAGTATTTGGGTCCCTGCCACCTATGTGGGAGAGTTTCAGGCTCCTGGCTTCTACCTGGCCCAGCCTCAGTTGTTGTAAGCATTTGAGGAGTGAACCAGCAAATGAAAGATTCTCTCTCCCTCTCACTTTCCTCTCTGCCTTTCAAATAAAATGAAAATAGATAATTTGTACATACAAGCTCACTATCCTCCTTTATGTCCTTGTGTGTGCAGTTCTGAAATAATTATGGCACAATTTATTTTTAAAAACTGCTCATCTTATTTGGTGCAATTGCTGCCGTGAGCCAGGCTCCCCTGGGCAGTGCCCTCATTCACTGAAGGGATGTGAAACACTTGTGATCTTCAAAAAGTTCAGGGAAGAAGAGTATTGCTTAAAAAAAAAAAAAACTATGCATGGATTTCAAACTATTTTGCACAACAAGTTTTGATTCTATTTCTTTGTGAGCTTCTCAAAGCACCCTCACTCCTATGGCATGAACAGGAAACCAAAATATTCCTCCCAAGTCCCTAAGTTCCATCTGTCACGTTGTCCTCAGGGACAGTCAGAGGGGCTGCGGGAGGAACCCTGCCTGCCTGCCCATTCTGATGCCAGGAGCTGGCTCCAATGCCATCATCAGAGGCTACAAAATCTGGCATAAGAAGGAAGTGTTGGAACTTTGGCTCTATTTCTTTTTAATCTTTAAAAAAAGAGACAGAAGAAAAATCAAGCATTACTAATCCTTAAAACATGGATTGAAGTTGTGCACTCCAAGAATTAAAGTGCACAGGCTCACCTGTGACTCATACAAGAACATATTTTCATGCCTAAGATTCTGGAAAAATGGCAAGTTGGAGGAAAACACGTGAATTCACTCTTGTTTCTTTTGGTTCCAAAGAGAGAAGACCTGCTTCCAAACTCAGTTAGGCAGTTAGAATATAGATACTGTCTTGAATGTATAGCTCCTACGACGAATATAAATACAAAAGGATGGGAAAAATTTTAAAGTATATAGATTGACAGTGATATATGCAAATTATTCAGAAGTCAAATTCATATATTGAGTGAGTGTTCAAAAAGTGTTTAACCAACAGGACCTCATAACCAGGAAAGTCTGGAATGACCGATCTGGGTCACGTGGCCCCTCGTGAGCATGGCCTGATGTAAGGGCACCTGCTTCCCTTCATCTTGGGTCACCAAGAGAGCCAACTACTCACACAGATGGGAGAAATTCTGGCAGATGGACTCCCCTCCATCCAACTCTCTGGGGCAGGTGTGTATCACACACCCCGGCAGTCCTGAAAATAATCAGATTCCTAGGTGCTGAGTCTGGGACTGGGGGAAGGGCCCTCTCACTCTTCAGGGATGGCCAAAGCCCACTTCCACTAAATCTGCACCTGCAGGACACCCCCCTGCCCACTGCCACCCCGGGGGACAAAGGAGAGGTGGTCAGGAATGGGGAGTGGCTGGTGCAGACAGACAGATCCAGATGGAGCATTTGGGATTGGTGACCAATGACACTTCTGGGCCATCGACAGTGACCCTGAGGCCCAGGTGTTCAGCCCCATTGCATCCCATCCCTCGGATGGTTCCTGGAGGACCGCCTGGAGCAAAGAAGCAAAAGAATCTCCTGTGCTGTGTCCCTCTGCTGGCTGCTGATGGTCCTACCCACTTGCCTTCTTAAAGGCATATAACTCAGGGCCAGGCGGACACACCCTCACTGTGCAGACTGGCCCTGAGTTCAAGCCCCAGCTCAGCCTCTCACAAGCTTTGTGACCATGGGCAAATCATGAACATCACCGAGCCCCAATAATGGCTCCAAGAATAATATCCTCCTACTTCTTGGGACAGGCCAGTATGATAATCCCAACCTAAGTACACAATTGCAAGAGGGACCAAGAGCAATGGGCGAATTAAGACCGTGTCTTGTCATCATGGCTAAGGGCAACTCCCTACTCAACTAGACACAAGCAGGACAAATGTCTGAATGAAGGGTTTCTGGCCTCCCACATGCACCTCAAGACCAAGGTATCACAAAGGTGGTAAACTGGGGGAGGGGGTGCTGGTCTCTTCATTCTGCCCTCTTCTCAGAGAACCCCCCCGAGAAATGATGGGGCTATGGTCTCGGGTGGGCTGGGGGGTGAGGGTGGCGCCTGCTGGGGGCCAGGGCACTGTGCAGGTGCAGAGATGGCTCCAGCGCTGGCCAGCTCCTGCCCACTGCCTCATCAATCTATCATCCTCTTAGCAGCTGACACCTCTGGCAGCACCTCCCAGCAGCCCAGGCATTAGAATTGCAAGACGCTCAGCTGCACCCAGGGAATACAGATGGAGGCATCTCAGATTCAAATTTGTCTAAGTATTGTGAACAGCCAGACCCGGGCACAGGCGTCTCCACTGCCCTTCCGCCAAAGGGGAGTGGCGGGGGTTTTGTTAGAAGTACAAATTGCTTCTTAATGCAGAGGATAAAGCCAGGCTCGGGCACCTCCTTAAAAATCCCTCCCGCTCCCAGGAAAGCCACCACCGCTGCATGTCAATTTTAATTTTTGAAATTTAAACCGAGGGCTTTGTGTCTAAGCTCCATCTCATCGGAGGAAGGGGAGGAATAAGTCAGAAAGGATTAGGGGCCCGCTGGGGATCACAGATCCATAGCAATTAGACTTCATTTGGGTCTCAGACATTTGGTTTTAATCGCATTTCTGGATGAGACCGATCAACAAGGCATCAGAAACTGATACGTACCCAGCTGTAGATGCGGCCGACTGGACTCCCCTCACCAGTTCCTGGGCTCAGGCGGGTGCAGCTGGGCCTGGGATCCACAATCAGCATGAGTAGGGTGGGGGTGGAGGTGAGGAATCAGGGTTGGATTCAGCTTTGGAGTTGGGGGGATGGTAGTTTGCATATGTATTTTTCCTTACCTCTGAGCACTTTATCCCTGGACTCAAAGCAGAGGTAATCATTGCTTCTATTCAAGTGAATAGCAATAAATCATTATTCAAATAAAATAAAAGCACACAAAGGGATAGCAACAGCCATGGGACTCAAGGCAGGGGGTATAATTGTCTGTTAAAACAGGAAGCACATCTTTCAGCATCTCTAGGACCTGAAGTGGAGCACAATGCAAAACGGGCGGTGGGCGTGCAGCTGTGAACACTGGCACACACCCCATTGACAGGGACCTATGCATACCTACGTGTAACACCAGTGACAAGCAGAGGACCACAATGCCTGGTCCACATGGATATCGTGCATATGATACAGGCACGCAGCTCTCCTGTTCTACACAGACTCATTCTGGGGTTGCCTCTGTACACACTCACACACACACATCTCTTCTCACACAGCCAGTGCTGTAGTCCAAGCAGGCTGCTGGCTAGTTACTTGGTAGATAACTTCCTGTGGGTTGGAACTCAGTGCTCTAACAGCAAAAAAAGAAAACATCTGGAAAGGGGTCTTCCTCACCTGCCTGCGTGGAGGGCTGACGGCAGGAAAGAGAGCAGCAGCAGGCACACATCGGGGTTCAGGGCAGGCACCCCACAGCCCGTGCAAGCAGGGAAGCAAAGACCCTGGGGAGGGGTCTCCCTGCGGCAGGGTGGGATCTGCCTGAACTCAGGGAGCAGGGGGAGTCACAGAATGGCTTCCATTTACTAGCTCTTTTGAGAGACACGGACCTGGCTGGGTGCAGGGACACAGCCTCAAGGCACCTGTACTGTATACCCAAGGGTGGCATGGGGGGACTTTCTGCACCCCCTTTGCAGAACAATCCCTCGCAGACCCCTTCCTGGCAGGTGCCTTATTCACCATGGTACACAGGCCTTCCTTTCCCTTCCTTCCCCCAGAAGCCCCTCCCCTTGGTTTGGACCCCCTCCCACAACTCTAGGAGAGTGGCACTGACATTATGTAAGTCCCGGGACTGGAGACTGATCACTCATCTCGCTGTTCTCCCCCACCCTAGATGGCAGGGACTTGGCAGCCAGCGGGAGAGCAGAGCAGAGATGGGCTCAGCTAAGGTCCTTATGCCAAGGTGGACCCATGGAGTCCCCCCAGGGTCAGGGGCCACTCTGACAGAGACAACGGAGCCCTTGGTCTAAAAACATAATTTAATGCATCGCTGTGTACGTGAGTCAGGAGGGAGTGCAGTGTAGAAAGATGAGTTTTCTGGGTGCTGGAATTCTGCTGCGAGTGGGTTTTTGGCTGATGGACAGAGACATTTGCACAAGTGTTTCAGGTCACAAAGAAGGAGGCCTATAGGAGCCCATGCTCACTTTGGCCCGGAGCCCACGGCCTCAGGACACCGTGGCCAGGAGGGAGGAAGGAGATCCGGAAGAGGACACACCCCCCACAGGCCTGTCCAGTCCCATCAGGTTTGCAAAGTCTGCTTGCCTCTCCGCCGGGAGGGCTTGGGGTCACGCTCAGCTCGCCAATGGCGCGTCCCCGGCTGGCTGTCTCCCTCCCCGGTTAGGGACAGGGATGAGGGGCAGGGGACGCGCAGCCCAGAGCGTGGTGAGTCGCAGACGCACTGAGGCCGGGGGGCAGGGCAAGGAGGAACAGCAGGGAATGTGTCTTTTCCAACAGACATGTCAGCAAGTGTCGTGAAACGAAAGTGGCCCCTCGCCAAGGAGCAGCGCGCACCCCCGCGGGGGCTCCAGCGGGCCCGCAGCCAGCCCAGCCCGCGCGCGCCCGCACCCCTAATCCGGGTACAGAAGAAAGCCAGAGAAGGTGCTGTACTTGTTGTTGTTGCCGCCGTGAGCCTTGCCGCCGTCCAACTTCACGTACACCTCGTCCCCCGAGTCAAGGTGCAGCACCACGCTGTTGCTGGCGTAGTCGTAGTTCTGGTCGGCGTCCTGCGCGATGGCGCTGGCCCGCACCTGGGGGGTGGGGAGGGGGCAAGTGCGGCGGGAGCCAGTGAGCCCCGGGGTCCCTCTTCCGGAGCTCCTTGCCCGGCGCCCACCTCGCGTCCCCTCCTCAGCCGGCCTCCTGCCTGTGGCTTTGAGGTCCCCACTCGCAGCCCAGCTGCAACTTAGCCAACTCCTTTCCGGTTCTCTCCTCTCCGATGCCGGAGAGAGGAGGGAGGGAGGAGACTTATTGGTGTCTGACCCAGGGAAAAAGGGTGGGCACCAGGGGCCGGGGCCCAGAGTAACGGAAGCTAGAGGGCAAAGGGGCGACCCGGCTACACAGAGGGAGCCACCTCTTCCCCAAGGCTGTCAAGGAGCCCACCAGGCTGCGGGGTAGCTGGGTCTCTGACACTAGGTTCCGCTAAGCGCGGTGCTGGAGCGCATAGCGGAGCGCGAGCTCTGTCCCCGGGGCTCACTCGGGCGCTCACTCACCGGGAGAGAGGCGGGTTACCCCGGTCGTTCGGGGCGCGCGCGGGGATGGGGACCACTGACCTGTCCGTTCTTGCAGAGGTCCGCCCACATGCTGGTGCCGTCGCCGCCGCGCATGAGGATGTGGTAGGTGAAGAAGTAGATGCCGCGCACCTGGCAGCTGAACTTGCCCGTGGTGGGGTCGTAGTGATTGCCCAGATTCGTGACCACATCGTCGAACTTGAGCACCTCGTAGCCTTCGTGGGGGCTCTTGAGGCCCACGTAGAAGGCGATCTTGGGGCCGCTGAAGGCGGCGCTCAGCGCGCTAGTCACATCGCCCTCGGAGTCGCCTCCGCCCCCGGCTCCGCCACCCACCACTCCGACGCCGCCCGCCGAGCCCGCCGTCAGCTGCAGCCCGGGCAGCCCGGGCCGTCCCGAGTCGCCCTTCTCCCCCGGGGGACCCCTGGGTCCAGGCGGGCCCGGCTCTCCGGGCGGCCCCCGCGGCCCTGGCTTGCCGGGTCTCCCTGGGTCGCCCTTGGGTCCCTGGATGAAGGGGGACGGAGGGTTGGCGCTGAGGTCCTGCATGACTTCCAGGGCGGCGGTGCTGGGGCCCGGCGGCGGGGCTTTGGCTCCCGCGGGCCCCCCGCCGGGTGCGGCGCTGTAGGGGTCGCAGATCATGCGGCAGGTGCCCATCATCTCATAGTGAGCAGCGCCGGGGGGCGCCGCCTGCAGCAGCAGCGGCACGGCGATGAGCAGCCCGAGCGCCATGGCCAGGAGTACGCCGACGGCCGCCAGGCAGGCGCGCCGCCGCCGCTGCCACAGCCGGGAGGCGACCGCCACCAGCTCCTCCTTGCCGCCCGGGGAGGTAATGGTGGGGCGGCGCGGGTGGCCCCGCTCCCCGCGCTCTGGGGCCAACTCCGCGGGTCCGGACCGCGTCCCCGACGTGGCGACCCCTTGCCCGGGCCACCCAACTACTTCAGCGAGAGGCGCCCCGGCCCGGGCGCCTGTGCCCGCCGCTCTGGGGCTGCTCGGGAGAGCCGCGGAGCCCGGCGCGCATGGCGAGGGGCGCACAGGACGAGCCTGGCGCCCCGCGGGTCCGGGCGGCAGCGGCCCCGGCTGAGGCCGGGGTGTGCTGAGTCGGCGTGCGGTGTCCGGCGAGGGCTCGGTGGTGTTGCCTCCTGCGCTGCTGTGTTCGGCGGGGCTCGGCGCGCAGTGAGGGCGCCCGGGCTCCGCGGCGCGCTCTGTTCTGCTCTGCTCTCCCGCTGCTCCCAGGCTCCCGCGCGGAGGGGGGACCCAGCTACCCTGACGTAAGGAGTCCGGGGCTGAACGGCGGAGGCGGCGAGGCAGAGCGCGCTGCCATCACTCGGGAGACGGCGCCCTCATGTCATCAGCCTCGGGTCCTCCTATCCCGCGGCGTCCTCGCCAGAGGCGGCAAAGACGCGCTTCCTCCTGGCGGCGCCGTAGAGCCACAAGTGGGCATGGCGGACACAGCCCCCTAGCCCGGACGTCTTGGACACACCCACCGGCGGCCACACTCGCGCGCCTCCCACCAACCAACCCGCACAAACACCCACGCACAGTGGCAGGGCGCAAACGCACACTCCCGTATGGCCACGAAGGCACTCAGAGCCCTGGTGCCAGCAAGGTTCTTTCGGGGGTCACGCGATTCGGCCCCGTCCCCATGCCTGCAGACAGGACCAGACGTCACTCACCGGGTCCAGCGGCGGTCACCGCTGCCATCGCTTGCATGGAAGCATTTTGTGCAGGTCCTGCTATTACTGCTGCGGAGTTGGATGCTCCAGGTTCTGTCAGGCCCATCGCACTCCTAGACCAAGGGCTCCACACGGTAAACAGGCTCCAGTCAAGTCCTCCCACCAAATCCGAAAGGATCCAAATACAAGATTCTGCAGATTTAGTCTCAGAAAATGAGCCAGCCCTTGTCCTTGGTACACAGTTTGCTTAGAAATGCGCATTTTTTTGGCACCAGCACTTGCTGGTCACCTTGAGGCACTCAGCTCCCTCTCTGAGCCTGGCCACTCCCAAGCAGAGGCACAGGCAATACCCCCTTGGAGATTCCCGGCTCTCTCCTCCAGAGGTGGCTTTATTTTGTTGTTTTTCAAAAGGGGTGGAGGGGGGGGTCCAATCAGGAACCAGTGTCTTGAATGAGCTGTGGCTCCAGGTTATAGCAGAATTGTCCATCCCCGATGCAGCATAGCAGGGCTAGGGAGGGCTAGGAGACACTGCAGTGTCTTGAGAAAACACCCAGAGCAGACACCCAAAGCCCCGGCTTCTGGTTCTGCTCTTGCCCAGAGCAGCTGTGTGACCTAGCAGGCTGTTCCCTTCACGAAAGCTGGGTTTTCCTAAAAACGTCTGCTCCTGCTCCAGCACCACAGACATAGGGATCACACCAGGCTTGGCCAGGAAGGAGTTCAAGGGCAGATAATCCGGCAAATAACCAGGCACCCCACTGTGCTTACTGTTTTGAAGAGAGCGTCCCTTTATCTGGCACTGTGCTCCCGCAGCTCAGGTCATCTATTTTTGTGATGCCGGTCACTCTGGGTCATTTCCCCACCCCTCCTCAGTTCTTTCCAGCCTCTTCCTTCATTTCCCAGAGCATAGTGGGTCTGATACCTGGTAGGCCCTCAGTGTGTACTGGTGGAAAGAAAAAGAGAAAGAACTCCCATGTATTGAATTGTTATGCATCCAGGAACATTGCATGTGCTCCTTCCTTGACTTCTCACAACAGCCCTGCAGATGAGTGATCATTCTCCCATTATACAGATAGGAAAAGAAAGGCTTTGAAAGTGTAAGGTGTTTGCCCAGTGTCCTCCACCCATATGACAGGGCTGAGAGTCCTCCCCACCCCCAGCCCCAGACCAGGGGCTCTCAGCACCCGACAGTCATCACAGCTCTTGGCCCAGTTCTTCTCTTGTTTCCTAGCTCTTGGGGGCCCTCCCTGCCCTGCCGCAAGGTCACCCCTCAAACAGGTGGTTCCAGGAGCCACACTGCATGTGTCCAATCCTGGCTCTGCAACTTCCGGTCTATATGACCTTGAGGGCGTTGCTTTTCCTCTCTGAGCATCAGTCTCCGGTGTGCAGAATGGGAGTGTGACAAGCTTAGTGTTATGGAGATGGTTAAAATCTGCCCATTAGTGTAAAGGCCTTAAAACAACAGCTAGCTCAACAAAAGATGCTTTAGGTCTCCACTCTCATGCTTATGCCCGCTAAGATGAAACACAGGGACACCAAGCATGGTGATGTGAGGAGTTTGTGATTGAAAAGAGAGAGACCCAGAGATGACTCACATACTCTGTCCTCCTCGTCCCCACCCACATCCCCCACAATGCCCTGCTCTGTCTTCTCAGCCTCCATCAGTCTCTTCCTGGACGAAGTGTTCCCCACAGAGCCTCACCCAGGTTGGATTCCCCCAGCCCTGCAGACTATCACCCCAAAGTCCTGATGGTCTTGTTCTTGTAGGATCTGGGCAGGGAAGAAGCCAGCAGGGGCGTGTGCTAGACTCCTTCTTCCACCCTTCGTGGACCACAGACCATGCCACCGTTCCTGGGAATCAGCATTCCTGGAAGCACCCTTGGTGGTGCAGGGAAGAAGCACCTTCCTCCCAAGGCCAGCCCTCCACCAGGTGGCAGGAACAGCTGAGCACAGTGCCCAGCTGAGCTGGTGCCCAGCAAGTGCATGAGTCATGAGGTCCCTCCCTCCCTCCTTCCCTCCCTCCCACAGTGGCAGGGCCGGCCAGATTGGGCACCACACACCCTCACCCGTCTGACTGCTGCCCCTCCCAAGTGAGCTGCGTCATCAATGACTGTCTTCTCATCAATATTAATTATGACCTTTATTAGCATCTCGCCTTCCATGTACACCGTGGCTTCACATTTCAAGGCCCAATCAGGACTCAAACCTGCCCCAAATGGCCTTTAGTTATCCAGCCAACATCTCTTCTGCAGTTGTCTGTGGAGAACCTACTATACACCAACCAATGACCTCCACTTTGTCCCCCTGGTGAAGCACTGGAGTCTGTGACATCCGGTTTGACACCTGCTCGGCTCTCTGGTCTATCTCCCCAGCAACGAGCCCCACTCTCCTTCACTTTAGCGTCTTCAACCTGGACCACCTGTCTCCCACTCATCCCTAATCATCCTTCAGTCCCAACTAAGTGTCGCCTCCTCATCTCAAGTCTCCCCTTGGCAAGCAGAGTTGGGGATGCCCATGAACCCAATGGAGCACTTTAAACATAGTCCTGCCATTCTCTATAATACAACCAAACATCTGTTGACCTGTTAGCTTCTCCCACCAGACCATGTGCGCCAGAAGGGCAGGAATGTGACATTCATTCATTCATGTACTGCATCAGTCATTTATTTGTTCAGTAAACATTTCCTGAACTGCGAGTACATGACAGGCACCATGCCACGGCTGAGGGTGCAGTGATGAGCAGTAGCATTGTGGCCCCTTCCACTTCCGTTTTCCCACAGGACTCCTCAAGTTCCACTGTCCCTTTCTACCTGAGTCACTTGGGTTTGCACCTACGGCAGTTATCAAGCATGGCTGCTGGTGGACATCCTTTCTACAAATTAGAACCTGTGTCCCGAGCTAGACTGTCAGCTCCTTGGAGACATCATCTTGAGTACATCAGCTTATCTCCAAGGAGAAGGGCGACAGAGATATGAGGGAGGTGGGCAGGGAGTGAGATCACACAAGGCCTTGGAGTCCATGTGAAAAGGGGTGGATTTTATGCTGAGCACAATTGAGGCCCACTGGAGTCTAACAGGGAAGTGGCATCAGCCATTCACACCCCGCAAAGCTCACATGGCTGCTGTGTGGTGAGTGGTGAAGGGGCAGGAGTAGAAATAAGGAAACCAGTTAGGGGCTATTGCATTATCGTGGCAAGAGGTCTGGGATAGTAGAGACCAAGTAGATGAATTCCAGGTATCTTTTGAGTGTGGATTCCAAGGGTCTTATTTTTAAAAAAGATTTATTTATTTATTTGAAAGGCAGAGTTACAGAAAAGCAGAGGAAGAGAGAGAGAGAGAGAGGTCTTCCATCCGCTGGTTCACTCCTCAAATGACCACAATGGCCAGAGCTGGGCCAACCCGAAGCCAAGAGCCAGGAGCTTTCTCCAGGTCTCCCACATGGGTACAGGAGCCCAAGGACTTGCACCATCTTCCATAGCTTTCCCAGGCCACTAGCAGAGAGCTGAGTTGGAAGAGGATTAGCCGGGACTGGAACCATATGGGATGCCAGCACTGCAGGCAGCAGCTCTACCCACTATGCCACAGTGCCAGCACCCCCCACCCAGGGTCTTCATGGGCAGATTCAAGATGGAAGTCAAGGGAGGAAACAGAAAAGGAGAAAGCAAGGTTAATGCCTAAGATTTGGCATGAGCAGCCAGGTGAATGAGGATGAGGAGAGAGACATTTGGAGAAAAACAACCTGCTGTGGACGCCGGTGGGAGGTGGAATTGTGAGCTCAGTTTGGTAAATGTTAACTTTGAGATGCGGCGAAGCATCTGAATGAAGACAGCACGCAGGCAGTGGATGTGGGTCTGGTACCCAGCAGTGAGGTGGCGAATGGAGAGAGATACAGAGAGGTGTTAGGATACAGAGATATCCGTAGGCTTGGGAAGGAGAGGAGGTAACAGGTGATGAGGGACCTCTCCCACCTCCACCCCAGCCACTTAGATCGCAGCTGGAGGAAGAAAGGGAGAGTCTGTAGCAGAGCCTGGGAAGAAGCTACTCAAGCAAGGAAGAAAGCAGGAGACAGGCTTAAACAGGGATCAGCTTTCAGGAGAGCCGCCAAGAAAGGAAGATGGGGACAAGGGGCCAGCGTTGTGGTGCAGTGGGGAAAGCTGCTGCCTGGGATGCTGGCTTCCCACTTGGCTGCATGTTCGAGTTCCAGGTGCTTCACTTCCTGTGCAGCTCCCAACTACTTCACACTGGAAGACAGCGGAAGATGGCCCAAGTGACTGGGAGACTCCAGATGGAGTTCCAGACTCCTGGCTTCTGCCTGGACCAACCCTAGCCAATGCAGCCATTTGGGGACTGGACCAGTGAATGGAAGACTCCCTCTCCCTCTCCCTCTCCCTCTCCCTCTCCCTCTCCCTCTCCCTCTCCCTCTCCCTCTCCCTATAACTCTGCCTTTCCAATAAATATTTTTTACAAAGAGGACAAGAAAGCATCCATCAGGTATGGTCACAAGGAAGGCACTGGGGACTGTGGCAGATGATGCTGCATGCTCACCAAGTCATGTCCTTCCCCTCTTGACCAGACCCCAGCTAGACTTCTGGCCTCCCTTCCAATGGAGACATGTCATGGAACTTTGCTCATTCAAATGTGAGCTGCTCTTGGGCCTGCACCCCAACCATCCTGTGCCAACTCCCAACCCCACCCGGCCCCTTCTCTGGCAGCTACACACAG